AGTCTCCGTGAAGTAAACTGTGACAGATCCTCTCTGGCTGGAGAAAAGATGGAGTCTGCTCACACAGAAAGCCCGAGGGACAATTTCTTTCCACTAACTCCCCCTTTTTTTTTTCTCCTGCTTTCTTTTTTGCCTCGTCATATTCCTCACACACTCAGCTGGAGTCTGCTGAATAGCAATGTTCTCTCCTCTCATAGAGAGTATGCACAGAAGCGTGTGCGTGTGTGTGTGTGTGTGTGTGTGTGCGTGTGCGTGTGTGCACGGAAATAGGCACACACTCCTTTCTCCTAATCTCTACTGCTTTGAACGCTGACTTTATCCCATCTGACTGAGTTGATCTTCCCACAGTCTATGGAGGGAAAGAGTTGACTTCCCTATGAGCTTTCTGCAGCAGTAGGAGAGATTGGGGAATATGCTGCCTGTGGGTGAAATGCTTCAATAATCCAAAAACATGAATCTCCGAATCTGATTCTATTCCTCTTGCATCCTGCTTTGTCCCCATTTCCCTGCTCCCTTTTTCTGCTTGCTTGCGTTTTGACTTTGCTTACTGTGTTCATACATTCATCCAAGAGGAAGTGTGTCTCATTCATGTTGTATTAACTTGTATGATATTTTCCTAACTGTCCACAGTGAGCTTTAACCCGCCGATCTTTGAATTTACTCCAGTAGTTTTCAGGCTAATGCAAACCTGTCTTAACTACAACTCTCCAGTATGTCTCAAATGGCTGCTTACTAGTTCTCTCTATTAATTTTATTTAAAATAAAAAACATTCAGACTAAAGATGTCACAGATATGTCAGGAAAGACATAAATTAAACTTAATTATATGTCATCAGCAGACGGGAATCAAACTCTAGAAGATCAAACTGGATCGACTATCGGAGCATCCACTGCAGCTGTCATTGCGTGTGATGCAGGCACGTATCTTCTTGATGTGTGCAATGCGTCTATAGCAACATGTGATTGACATCAGATCTGATTAAGCACGTACACAATGGATACATCGTGGTTCCAGTTCAGGTTACACCTGCGTACTGCACATCAGCAGGCCACCCTACACTGTGTCCATGCTGCCTGAATTTGACACTGTCCACAGCACTGAATACATGAGGCACTGGAGTCCACACGAGACCATTCTGCTGAAATTAGATCACACAGTGCCTAACAATGACAATTTAATCTGAATATGTATCAAAAGATAAATGCTCCAGTTTAAATGAACCTGTATTTCAGATAAAAGTAAAGTTACATAATACATGACACAAAATATGTGAAGTATATGTTATGCCACTCACTGGCCATAATGACCAAAATGCCTGCCATTATGAATCCAGATGTGATGTTTTCAGGGTCATATTTCCTCACCACACACTTTGCAGCTTTTACATAACTGGTCATTGACATTACACTTGGTTTGAATAACTATGTTTTTGTTATGGGAACTCTTGAGCAGATTTAGAAATCCAAATGACTACCTTTATAAATGACCAAAACACTTTTTTTTTTTTTTGTTGTTTAATTTGACCATTTAGCTGTTCCTCCTCTGCCCATTAGATGACGTTCTGAGGCCCACTAGTGGGCCCATGCCAAATGTTTGAGAATATCTGATCTAATCCTCTTTCTGATTGAGCTACTGGCAACGTTTCCCTGAACGACAATGCTGCATTTCAAGACAACAGCAGGAAAGGCCAATCATTTGCTCTGTTTTGTATTCATGCCACATCTTCCCACAATTCTCTCTTGCTGTCGACATCTTCTGTCAGTCGATGTTCTGTTCACATCAGTCTTACTTAACAACGATTTCAAGGTACATTGTTAATATGTTTGTATTCATTTTAGTCTGTTTTGGTACTATTGAGCTTGTGGAGAATTTGAATTTTTTTTATTTGAAAACAGTTTTGTCCAGTTTATTATTATCTCAATTAATGAGACATTTCCTCTTATTGATATAAATTATTCTTGCATGAAATACTACATTTTTAGATTTACAAATTTTTTTTTCAGATAATATATTTGAATATACTATAAATATTATAGCATATAGGATATAATACGATAGACAAGTTGCTCCCTACCTTTCATTAAGGTTAAAGTATTTTGTTGTGCTTACACTAGATGGGGCTGTCTTATGACAAAAGGTGGCAGAGGATACAGGCAACATGCAGGTTTTTGTCACTACTTTTTAAACCGCTTCGCCCATAAAGATTTGCATTATTATCAAATGTAAATGTGTGCATACTTCACATAACTTTTACAAAGTATACCAGATTAATTGTTTGATTTACTGGTCATGCAGCTTAGACTTTCGATTCATTTCATTATGGTTTTATAATCAGCTCGCATGAACTTGACATGTGCTTCATTTTTTTAATCATTTATTTTGATCAAAGTTGACTTATTGTTGTGGTCATGCAGCTAGAATTGATGCCTGATTTGAATACCGTGCAGTGCATCACTAATGATGACGTAACCTGTGACAATATTCAAAGTGGACATGATGGTCACTGTGATGGATTATCTGTTTTAGGCAAGTCTCTTCATGTTTACTTTCACACCAGGCTGTTCTGCACTGTATGCGATATGTTGTCTACCTTTGCCTACCAATTCAGTGCCATTAATTCAGGGCTTTCTTTTCAAGTCATCCAGTTCTGGATGACATAACTTCTAATTAAACATGTTAAGTGTCTGTGCAAGTCAGCAAAACAATATATTAAAAGGTGGAGAGGGAGAAAGCCAAGGACAGAGGGAGCAAACCAGTTTACTTATCAGAAGTGTGCTGGAGGTCAGAGTACTGTTTGTGTTGCATCACAGAGCATCAGTTAGAACAAGTGGAGTAATTAAGTGAGATGATCCTTAAAATTGTGTTTTCAATGCAAACCTGGAGATTTTCAGTAGACCTCAAGGGCTCATTTTCGCACAGCGCAGTGAGCTGTGCGATGAGAGTAATTACCAAATCACCCTTTTCTCTTTTCCTTCTTTTTTTAAGGAGACCTGTGTTAAAGTTCAACTTCTATGGTACCAAAAACATTGTTTGATGCCCTATTGATTTAATTGGCCTCTTCAGGTGTAATCAGCAGTGAGGACAAATAATGAAATGAAGCTCATGCATTTTACATAAGCTGTTTTTTCACATGTCATAGAGTCGCATTTTTCACTACTTTCTGTATATGCTTGAAATGCATTCAGGGGGAACTAAACATGGTGTTAGATCCCTTTCAGACGAGGCACTGGGCTCAGTTTGCAGCTCTGTGTTGAAAGTCACCTTTCTGAGCTGAGCTAACAGGACAATTTTGTCAGTGATATGATCAATTGTTGGTCCCTGTTGACCATGTTCGGAAGGATAAAAAAAGAATACGTGTTTTTATTTGTAATGTCACACCGCCGTTGTATACCTTCAGGGTCATCCAAGCCTTTCCATGATAGCTGAGCTGGTTCCACCCTGATTTTATCAAATTTGTACATTGTATGTTCCAGTGGTGGTAGCACTATGTCAACTGACATTATGCCCACCAAAATAGAAGTCTAGTTTACTAGGGGAGGAGCCATTAACCGAGGCAGCTCCTAGGCCTCTCTTTAAAGGGAGGGGGAGGAAAATCATGTCCGTTCTAAAAGGCTAGCTTTTTATGGTCTAATGTAGTCTATCAAAAAGGCTCCCTGTGGCCCGAAATGGGGAGAATTCAAAGTGATAAAAAGGATAGTGGCACAGGTCAGTCATTACCTGTAGCAGTTGAGGAGGGTAGCAGAACGGAGAGATGGGAGGTGTACTCTAAAAACATGAGGAAGAACTTGGATGCGTAGGACTGAGTTAAGGATGTGGTTTTGCAGGGACACGGCAGCAGGCCTGTGTAGGGAGGTGTTGAGTGGGAGCAACAAGACACTTGTCGTGTTCACAGGTCAACATAATTCTACATTTCTTCTACAATTATGTAATCTCCCCATGATCCCCCCAAACTCCATAACCATTATGTGCATGTCAAGTTTTTACCATAGCTTCTTTTCCAGACATACAATGCTAGTGTAATTGAATGAGCTCAAATCCATCAATCAATATTTCAGGCAGCCAGTATTGCTTAAACTAAAGGCCAAGACAAATACCTTTTCATTGTCATTATGTTGCTAGGTCCAAGTTTGCCTCCTGTCAGCTACTGCATTAACAAACATTGCAAAAAGACATGACAAAGGGGCCCATTTTGAATGTTTATGTTGAAAAGGTCTTTATCACTCAGACAAAGGAAATGAGGAATACGCATCTCTACATCCTGAAGAGTGTCGGATAACCAAATAAGTGTTATCCTAATCATTTCACACATTACTGTGGATTCTCATCAGTTGACACTGTGTTGTTGCACAATGGAAATGCGTTTGAGCAAACTATTTTATGCTAGAAGTGGGGCAAATAGTTTTTATATTCTATTCATATCCGAAAACCTGTAAAAGCCTGCACACAATCTCTCCCGCTGTCCTCTAAGTAGCCTTTAAAACGTTGCTTCCTTGAACAGATTGTGAATAACCCTTCTTCCCCATTGCCCAGTGGCTCATGTTCAATGGAAATGAGCGAAGGCTTGTGATTAACACGGGAGCCGTATTGCATCCTTAATGATTCCTGAGTTTATGTCTCCTCGAATTGGCCAAAACAAGAACAGATGGCCCCACGGGTGGAATCCAGACACACTCACTGTGCCTGTGACAACTTTGAAAACTAAGTGTGTGTGAGTCGGTGTATGTCTGAACATTTGTATTTATGTGGATATGTGTTCACAGTGTGTGATGTGTTTCCTTTCCAACATTTACTCCAGGCTCTTGCTCTCAATAAGAACGTGGTCTTAGTCAGCCATCGTGGTTACATAAGAATAAGAAAAAACATGTTTTAAGAGTCTTTTTATTTGTGTCCCTGTATGCCTTGCCACTGTTAAAACATGTCTGTTGAGTTTACCTTGAAGCCTAAGGAGGATGTGTACGCTTCCTGTCAGTAGATTTATTTTATTTTTCCCCATCTACAGGAAACGGGTACAGGGGTCTCTATCTACACCACTTCCTCTAGTTGTTTGCTCGCAGTCTGCTATAGCCGACCTCCTGTGTTTGACAGAACTGTGAGTACAAGAAGAGTTACAGGTGTTGTACAATGTGTCTTTCTAGCCGCTGGATCATACAACCCACCCCCCAAGATGAGAGACTTGTTGACATGACAAATGCCAGACAACATTATGACAGAAGCTAAAATGTTGACATCTGGAGACAGCATCTGTTGCCTTCTGCACTTCTGCACTTTCAAATCTCTGTCAAACAACACATGTCTCCGCTGGCATGTACACACACCCATACACATTAGAATTTCTATGTAAATGTCACATATCACTCTCACTGGAATATAAAGTGGACCAAAGACTTGTAATTGCCTTGAGATGTTTGTTTGAGGTAGAGAAAGCTCCTGTAAATCTACAATACATAATTATGTAATAATATATATATATATACAAAAGTCACATGCTACTCATCCAGAATTGTATGTACGTTTTTATATGTGAACTGAAGCCACAGAGACTTTGAAAATGCAACAGTTTGGTAATAAATTAGATGCAAAAATGAATGACGGAGACTTTTCAGACAAGGAGAGAGGGCTTGCATAGACCACAGAGCGTTAGGATTGAATAGGATTGACTTTAACAAAGACAGTGTAACTAACTGACTCATTACCCACAAAGTCAAACTCAAGAAAGTTGTTAATATTAGAAAAATATGACCTTGTTTCACTGTTTTTATCACGACTTTGTTCTCATGCAGTACTGTTGAAATAGAATCGTAATATTTTGTAACTCAAATGTCATCTGAATGTTAATGCGTACATTCTCACATCTTTTTTTATTTGAACACTTTTTAAAAGAGTCTTGAGGTTCACTCCTTGACTTTTCCATCATTCACTCTTCTATCTCTTCTCTGATCTACTGTAGCCAGAGTCCTTGTCTTCTGTCCCTTCTTCCTGCCACCTGTCCCTGGATCCAAACCTCCTTGTCCTTTTAACCTTCCTGGCATCTCCCCTATAAGTCCTCTGTCTTTTGATTTCACTGGCAATAGTATATTCTGGGGCTATGGGCCAGCAAAAAAACTGCTCTTATTTTGTGGTGATGTCAAAGAAAGCGTGATCCAACAGGGGAAACAATGAAAATAAAGAGAAGTGCCGGAGGTGTAGAGTTGCCTGGCAACAACTTCCCATCCTTGTGCGAGTTGGCCTTCATCAGATTGCAGGATAGACATTTAGAAACACTCCAGCATCACAGTCTGTTTGCACTCAACGGGGACAAGAGAAGAAGAGACGGAGTAGGTGAAAAGGAACTGCTGACGTGTGTTACCATATGGGGTGACGACCTTTGTCAGTTGGGTTTGGGCAAACAGCACGAAACTGGTAATCACCTTTGTGTCTATATTTTCTTGCCAGTTTTTATTTATCTGACTGGACCTCAACCGTTTGAGGTCTGGCCATCTCTGGAGTTGGGTAATTTGAACCCATCCAGAACTCCGCTGCATGAGTTCTAACCTGTATAAAAAGATCAGACCTCTCGTCCTCCGATGCCATCATTGGTGACCTCTTGCTTTCAGTTAAGTGGTCTCTGTTTGCTGAACAAATGCATTTATGGTTATACATCTTAATACAGAGAGCAATACATACAATGTGTACATGGTCATTCATCTAAATGTTTAAAGCTAGTGCATGTATGGGTATGGAAGATTTTTATTTTCTCCTGTAATGAAAATAAATCGCTAGCTGGTACCTACACCGTCAGCCAACAAGAATTGTGTTAGTCCAACCATCCAATTTCAAGTCCCATATCCAGGTCAGGGTCATGGTGGCAACAGATCAAGCTGAGCAGCCTATGTAGTTCTCCAAAGTGATGTCCCCCAGCTCCTTCTGACATTCTGAGGGGAGCCGGGAGATGTAATCCCTCCGGCTCTGCTCAAGGGGCTCTCTTATGTAGTTTAGTCATGCTGGAAAGGAAGCACCTGGGGGGGGGGACACCGAGGGTGGTTGAACAACATCAATCTCCTCCCTTCAGTTTGAAAAAGCAGTGGCTTAACACAAAAGTCCTCCCAGATTGCTTTACATCTCTCTATGGCAAAGCGTGAGGACAGCTACTCTGTGGAGGATCATCTTTTTGTATCAGTGATCTAAAATAATGGCCTCTTACATTCAGTGAGCAGTGGTACTAAATCTGAAGATGGTTTGATGCTGACAGCGTCCAATGCCAACACATTGTAATAGTAACAGTGTTGTCTGCCCATCCCCATGGAGTGGAGATGCAGGTAGTGAGCTCATTAGTGGATTATACAGCTGGATCCTGAAGTCAGCTGCCATCAACATTGCAGCCAGTACCCGGTTTGTAACGTTAGTGCTGCATCAAGTCATATCATTCAGATTGTAGTACAAGCAACAGGTAAAAAAAAAACAACTGTTCATGTCAGAGATGTCAGGAATTTCTGACAACTACAATATCTCCCACTTGGTGAGAAGAACTGAAAATGTCTCAACAGACAGTTGGCGAAATAACTACAAAGCCACCATCACTGGCAGTTACATTACAAAATATAGTCCAATATTAACACTTTAATTATTTGGCTGATTTAAAATAAACTATGCACTGTATCTTGTTTTTCCTGTTAACAACCAGCTCCAGCATGTAGTCTCCACTCTCTGTCAATACTGCTCTTCTTCATATTCATACAGACACACGCATTCACACTGGGTGTCCAGCATAGTTTTGTATTTCTGAACAGATCGACAGGGAAAACTAAAAGTGGTAGGTAACATGTGTAAGCTTAGTGGTAGTTGATGAAGGGATGTCGTTCATTCACATTTCCCAGAAATCTAGAAAATCGAAGCAGTGGGGCTTTCATAAACACACCGTTGGCTTTCAAGCTGCCGCTGCTGATTTACAGATATTATATTATTTAAAGCCAGGACCTCTAGCTGTGCCATTAGCCAGATTGTATTTAGATCACGTTGAGATTGCAGTTCTGTAGTGTGGGTCTGGGGCCGTATTCACAAAACCTTCTCAGGATAAAACTTTCTCCTAACTGGCTGGATTAGGGAGAGAGATACTCCTAAAAATAAGGAATGTGTCATTTCTAACTTCCAAGTTTTGGGCTTGAGAGTATTTCTCAAAGCATTTTTGTGTTAAAACAACAACAAAAAAAGGTCTGGGAGAGGTTTGTGTCAGAGGACTCCTAAATCACTAAGACATGCTCACAACCAGTCAGTTGACACAGCTACATTTCAGTTTGCAGCGCTGATGAACATGAAATATCTCAGCTTGTTGAAGGTAATCAACCAAACCAAAACTGCCTTTCAGTTTATTGGACAGTTTATTAACTTGACGGTAACGCATTCATTAAATATATATTGTGTCTTGGCCATTGCTGAATTATTCTATTCATTAATCTATCATTAAGCTATTCATTTGGGCCCCCCATTCATTTGTGTTGATTTAATTTCACATTCAACAAAACCACTTAGTTAGGTTTAGGAAACGAAGGGACAACAACATGTTTTATTTACTATCCCTACTTGTATTTGGAGAGATGAATGTTATTTTGGAATTTCAGTTTCCTATTGAGAGGTTAGGCGAGCTACGCAGCCAAATAAGTGACATCAATAATACGGCAAAAGAGAAGAGCACTGTTCCTTTTGGACTCTTGGACAAGAGAGTTGAAAAGTTAAACGATGGCCAAGAGAATTTGGCATGTGGCCGCATAGATTACATAAAACCGGATAGCAGAATGTCTGTCAGTTTCCAAGGCAACTGTATTTTTGTGTCTTTACTCTCATTCTTATCCGTCAATTCTCTCATTAACACTCTGCAGTTTTTTTTGTCAATTGAGGCCTCAGTGTGTTTCTAAGCTTCAGTAATAGTTGGTTACGTGTAGAAAAATGTGTTCAGCAAGGTCTGTGATTGCCCGTCCGTTATAACTGTGTCACTCTCTGGATTATTTTAAAGAAAAAAACACTATTGTTAAGCAACCTTAATGTTTACTGTGACCACTGACGACTGGCCAGTAATGGTTGCTGCTATACTTTAGCCATGGAGGTAATGAGTTAACATTCTGGTACATAAGTCACATTTGTGGTTAATGTTATTGCACACAATGCAGCGATGGTCACTTTCTCTGAATACCCACGCGTTTTCACACCACCGAGTGTGTTGTCTAGTTGCAAACATTGAATACAGCCCCCTTAAACTTTCAGATGAAAGTGAAAAATGTGAATGGCTGAGGAATGTTTGCACCTTGCAAAGCAACTGAACCATTTTGATTGGCTTGGTTATCTTCACAGTCCGTCGTGTATTTCAATAAAGCATCAGCACAGCTGCTCTGAAATCCCGTGTCACGGGTTCTTTCCCCCAACTAGCTAGTGAGACTATTACCTAGTGAGATATCATAGAAGATGCTACTAGATGGTACTGTGAATCTTAGACTAGGTACGCAAACACATAAGGGAAATTAGCTTCTCTCCCCTCAAAATTGACAGCTTTAAATGATTCCTATAATGTAAGATTGCTCTGCTGACGAGTCATTTCTTCTCTGTGATTGAAGTTATTGCATTTAGTCACAGGTTAGGAGCGTTGGCTATCAAAGGGCTTGAATGTATGCTGCCATCTCTCGCGTGCCAGTGTTTGCAAAGCAAAGCAGTAAACGGAGTGCAACACATTCATTGCAAGATTCAGACGGCGAATGTGTCAAGGTCAGAAGTTGCCTGCTTTGTGAGAGATATGTAAGTTCCCATGTTTCCATATATTGTGTAAATACAGCTGCATAGTGTTTTTCAAAATCTCTACAGGCTTTACCATTGTCAAGGATCAGGATATTCAGGATAGTCAGAAACTATTTTAGAATATAACGTTTGTTGACTCATGCTTTTCTCAACATTTCCAAGGGTTCAAGTTTCAATAAATGTATATTTTAAATGATATAATTTCTTCTTGGATGACAGCTAAACAAAGTAGCTGCTAATCAACACAAACTTGTGGAAGTATTGTTTGACTAGTGCAGTTATTTCTGAAATAACTACTGTTAAGTGTTATTTCTAATCATCTGTTTAATTATTTTTCTCATGTTCTGTTCTTAATGGGAACTGTGGGCTCCAACTACCTTTTTAATAATGTGTCCTCTTGCACTGCATGATGTCACGTTCCAAGAGTCCATCCTAAAGTCCAGCCGATGCACTTCTCCCCCCTCCCAGCTCATTCTGTGGCGCAGTTATAATCACCCATAGCTAATTAAGGAGCTTATGATATTTCCGTTGGGTTTCCTGCAGTGCGACTTGTGCAGCTGTATCCAAATGCTATTGATATTGATTGTGGCTGCTGGTGTTTGTTTCTTATTTTTCCTGCACAACGGCCCCTCAGGCATTGAGGGCTATGAAGTGTCATAAAGATGAAGGCTAGGGTTGACATTGTGTGGATTTGGTGTGTGTGTGTGTGTGTGTGTGTGTTTTGATATCTCTTCAGAGTGACTCACTACCCTTTTTTGACTTTTAAGTCCTATGTTGTTTGATTGTAGATATGCATTATTCAGGGTCTATTTGCAGTGGATTCTTCTCTACTGTGCTGCTTCTAACATTTACAAAATTGATACATCATCAATGTGTCTTTAGTGGTTCCCTTCAATTCCACTTGACATGCATTGGAAAAGAGCGGGGCATCTCCGAGGAGGAAAGAGAGGGGAGGAGTTAGTGAAGGAGACAGAGCAAGGTGAAACTGTGATTCTTATTATGCTAATGAGGAGGATTATTATTTCCCCTGCTCAGGCAGTGGAGGCAGACAAGAGTGGATGTGGGCGCAAGTGTGTTTCCCTTTTGACGGTGTGATTTGTGTACAAGGCTGTGTGTGTGCGTGCACATGATACCAGCAGAAAAGAGAAACCTCACCTTTGAAAAATGATTCTATTTAGTTGCTTTGACATCTTTGCTCTGTTTCCACTTTATTAGATGCTCATCCTTATGAAAATAGCTTGCTCCTCCAGCCACTGAGTCATATCAACAAAGAAGGTGAACAAAGCATGCAGACTGGGTTAAGAGACATTAGTGTGTGTTTAAAGGTCAGGGGCAGATGTGTTCATGGGTTATAGAAACATACGCAGCTCACAAACTCCTAATCATCTGTGCTCCTTATTCCCCTTCCTCCCTAAGCACACCCCCTCTCTCCCACCCCCTCTCCTCATCCTCTCCTCTGGTCCCCCTCCTCCCTCTCTTAGTAGCAGCCAGTGGTATGCTCCACTCGTCTTCTCTCTCTCTCTCGCT